ATCACTTCGGTCTTTTCCTCTCCTCTAACTTAGACTTTCCTGATTTCTTTTTAGGTGCTGTATAGAACTCCATTTGAGCTAGCCTCCTTTTCCTGAAGGATGGCGCTGTCGAAGAGGGAGCTGGATGAGCTAAAACCATGGGTAGAGAAGACAGTGAAGAGGGTACTGGGCTTCTCAGAGCCCACAGTCGTCACAGCAGCACTGAACTGTGTGGGGAAGGGCATGGACAAGAAGAAGGCAGCTGGTATGTACCTTTCTGAATCTTCTGACTGACCATGAGATGACCCCAAAGCCTGCTTTGAACTTTCCCAAAAGGATCAGTCTACATTTTTTTTTCTTGCATTATAATGAAAATACCTCAACTGATTTTGCTTTTTCTCTTATTTCTTATTTTTGTGACATTTTGAATCTCAGACTGACTTCCCTTGACCACTGTCCTGAGTTACCTAAGTTAAACTTACTTAAGAAATATATTAAAGGGAGGTGGATACATTCAGATTCAGGTTGACATCTAAATATATAGAAGTTGTTATGAAGAAGTTGAGGGAGGTAGATTTTGTTAATGATCGTCTCTGCTATTTGGGGAAGAGTTAGGGAGATTTTTTTCATCCAAAGTTTGATGCTCAACTTAAATAGATTGCTCTGGCTATGCTACCTCCTACTCTGAAGAATTATAACTGTATTTTTACCTCATAGGGCGAAGTTACTCAGTGTAAGAGGATTTATGGGAATCCTACAAAGAACTTGAAAGATTTTCCTCCCTCAGGGATAAATTTCCAGTGTTGGTGTCTGTTATATGCCTAGTATTAGACTAAAGTACTCTTACCTTTTTAACCCTACCACCTCTTTTTTTTCCTTTTAGACCATCTGAAACCTTTTCTTGATGATTCTACTCTCCGATTTGTGGACAAACTGTTTGAGGCTGTAGAGGAAGGCCGAAGCTCTAGACATTCCAAGTCTAGCAGTGACAGGAGCAGAAAACGAGAGCTAAAGGTAGGTTACAGTTAACTATCTGATGAACTCGGGAGTGTTTTGAATGGTAACAAAGTTGCTGAGCTTACCTGGCTCACACTTTGATATCCACTATTAGAATACCTAATATTCAAGAGAGGTACTTAGAGCTGAAAGCAGAGGGGGTTAACTTGTATTATCACCATCTTATGGTAATGAACTACCTAAGTTCATGGGTTGAAATATTCCAAGGAAACAATTGATAAATTTGTCCTATTTTCATATACAGTCAGGGGTTTTGGTTCTCATGTTTCCCTATGTTTCTTTCTCCCCCTCCCCCCACCTTTACTACTACCTAAAAATTGATTGATCTAAGATTTTATGCTTCGATTCGCTTGATGCCTAATAGATTGCTTCAGAATGTGATTCCACTGCTACCTGAGTGTAGACCTTATTGTTGCTCCTTTTTAGAGGTTTCTCTGCAATGGACTTACAGATGGAATACCTAACAACAGTTACTATTTATTATTTGTCTGGAGAGCCTGCCATTTTTCTATATAGCATCTTACTAGCCATCTGGCCCCATGAGTAGAGTACTTAATGGGACCATCATTACTCCCTTACCTCCTTCACTTTTTATTCTATGGTTGCTGATTGGTCATGGCCTCTTTGAATATTTGCAGTATCAAGTAGCTGATCTCTATATATCTTTGCTCTCTGTCTCTATCTTTAAAAAAAATCTTTCTGTGACTTCTGTCAAACCTTCCAAAGTGCTTTTGATACTTTGGCTATCCTATTGCTTTTCCTGAGGCACTGAAGGTGAATAAGCAATGTCTGCTTGGTCCCTGGCCAGGCTATGGAACTAAGAGAAACAAACATTCATGCACTCTTTGTGTTTAGGGCATTGGAGGGTGGTCAGCGGAATAAGAGCTAG